AAGGAATGCGCCGCCATAATATTTGCTGTAAAGAAACATCAGTGTTATTTAGACGGGCATACTAAATTCCTCATCATGACCGATCATAATCCCTTAGTTTGGCTCAAAAATAATGTGAGTCTAAATCCACAACTTATGAGATGGACACTAGTACTACAACCCTACAATTACACGATCGTTCATAGAAGTGGTAAAAACTATAAAAATGTAGACGCATTAAGTCGTACTCCCTGGCCTGATTAAATAATTTGTTTCTCTATATAGATAAAAAAATATTTTGTTCCTTCCTCTCTTCCTCAGTGTATGTTATTATGTTATATCTTGTATTTCAATTCTGTATTGTGCTGATATTGTTGTTTTGAAAAAAAAAAAAAAAGACCGTAAACTTTAATTTATAAAAATATAAATTAAAGTTTATCTGGAGGGGGGAGAGGTTGTAATATCTTGTTATTTAATAAATAAATATAATTATTGTTGAAGTGGCAACGCCATATTTGTATTAAAACGTCAGCAACGTGAGATATTGTTTTAAAAGATAAGATTCTGAAGATTTTACAGCTAGGAGTAGTATAAAAATTTTGCCACTTAAGAATTGTATAAAATTTGTCTATCACCGTGAATTAGAAATAAAATTTATGTTCTACTAAGAAGATTGTTTGTTTGTAAATTACTGCAGAATACATTACAATACTTTCTCTTTAATTCTATAAACAGACATCATTTCTTGTTCAGTTACAAAGTTTTGCTGTTTAAGTCCTATAATTGCTGTGTCGAGAATACCGACTAATTGTCAATCGAAATTTTTTTGTTTTCAATAATGCTGTGTCACTTTCTTCACTATCGGAAGTGAGTTATAACGACGAGGAATTTGATTCAAATCATATCAAAGACGGAATACATTGAGATGAAATACTACATTTAGAAAGGAATTATAAGCCAAATAAAATAAAAACATCTGCCCTGAAGATAAGGATAGTGCTGAAAGATCAACTTCCAATTCACTGCGCGCAGCGACGTTCCCCTCTCCCCCCCCAACGTTCCCTCTCCATAGAGCAGCGTGAAATTGATAAACAGATTTCGGAATGGTTAGAGGAACAAAGGATATGCATTTATCCATTTTTTGCAGCAGTTTCACTTTTTGTTTGATGGACATCAAAACATACTTTCGCTCTGTAGATCCTTTGGCAGCTCCAGCATTGGAAATTCTATCTGGCATAATCGAAAGTTCAAGCTTACTTTTATAAAATTGCTCTAATAGTCTGCAAAAAATAATAAGCCAGATACAATTCGAGGATTAAGGAACAACGCAATCTGCAACATTAACTGAAAAAGATAATTAGATAATTTTAGCTTAGCTTATACCATCCATTATACATTAAACGCGCATGCATAGAAGTGTTATGCGCGTGCATTATGCATTGACGCATGCGCAGAAAGTTTGTAGCTTTGAGGTCCGGATTATAGATCATTCCGGATTATGGGTGTCCGAATTAACGACTTTTGACTGTACCATGTATGTAAATTCCAGTGATTAATAATTATTTTTTCTTTAAGATTTAGCACAAAGGTCAGTTAACTTGATATAATTTTGGTTAGTTGAACCCAGTTTTAAATATTCTAGAATAATTATATGACCCGATGAATATACTCAATACAGGGTGTTTCATACATCATGGGACAAACTTGGAGGAGTGGTTTAGTATACTAAAACATGCATTTTTTGTATAGGAATGTAGAGTCTAAAGTGCTGGGTAAAGGCAGGAACCCAAAAAAACGACATGAGAGGAAAATGTGTTTATATACAAAATCAACGCAAAGTACTTTTTTGCAGCAATACAGTATTCACAATAAATGTTCAAAAAAAGGAACACTAACAGTAATAGGAACTACAGCTGTGATTTGCTGGCAGTGCAGCGGTAGTGAGTCAGACAAACCACGATCCAATACATCAGAAGATCATTCGCAACTCTGATGTCGAGCGTGATGGGTGAGTTTAGGCACAGGGAAAAAGCTGACATGCATCTCATGTATGATGCTGCTAATGGGAACGACAGAGCAGTGCTACGGTTGTACCAAGAATGGTTTCCGAACAGGCATATGCTGAAGCATACAATGTTCAAGAGGTTGCATCAGTCTGTGTGTGAAAACGCATCATTTGAAGCCACCTCTGACACCTAGGAGTGGAAGAAGAAGTGCACGACAAGTTTCGCATTGAGAATCCATCTTCAATGCGCATGAATCACCTCAGACAAGTACAAGAGCTATTGCACATCGTCTGCAGCTGAGTCATTCCACCGTTGGAGAGTAATGCACATGAAAATGGTTTGCATGCATACCATTTGCAAAGAGTCCAAGCCTTGCAAGAGACAGATTACCCTCTCCGAGTTCATTTTTGTCATTAGTTCTTGCAGCAGTGTGCGACGCAGGCAGATTTCCCATCAGATGTGCTATTCATGCATGAAGCAACTTTCTCACAGATGGCATCTTCAATAGTCACAACATGCTTGTGTGGGCAACTCATAATCCACATGGCACACGTCCACATGCATTCCAAACCCGCTTCTCCATGAATGTGTGGACGGATATTGTTAACGACCACCTCATATGCCCATACCTCTTACCTGCACATACAAATGACTTATGTTATTATATTTTTCTGCAACAGGTGCTACCAGAATTGCTGCACGATGTTCCGACTGTCCTTTGTGATCACATGTGGTGCACCAGCCCATAACCACGGGCGGGTCTGCAATTACTTGGACGGGACATTTCTGGGCCGATGGATTGGCTGTGGTGGGACCTGTTTGCCAAATTTATCCAGCTCGAATTTTTTTTATGGGGCCATCTGAAGAGCGTCATTTACGAGACTCTCGTTGACTCATTGGAGGACCTCGTTGCGTGACTATCAATTGCGGCTGCAAGCATGTGCAAAATTCCTGTCATTTTTCAAAATGCTCATCAATCTCTTCTGCAACGTTAACAAGCATGTATTACTGCTGGTGGTCGCAATTTTGAACATTTATTGTGAATACTGTATTGCTACAAAGAAGCACTTTGCGTTGATTTTGTACATCAACACATTTTCCTCTTGTGTTGCTTTTTTGCATTCCTGTCTTAATTCATCACTTTAGACCCTACATTCCTATAAAAAAATGCATGTTTTAGTATGCTCCAGCACCCCTCCAAGGTTGTTCCATGATCTATGAAACACCCTGTATTAATACCAAAATTAACTACAGTGCCCAAAATCATTACTATCTGAGTATATTAAGAAAGTCATGCAGGTATATATGTGTTTACATTGTACTAACTATTGAATAATATATTGTTCACTATGATATTTATTCTCTGTAGAAACCGTTTATGAATTTTGTTTATCTTTAAATTATTATATCAGCATATTTTATAAGCCTGCTTAATAAAGGTTTACATTTTTTGTTCTTTTCCTTAAAATTAATATCAATTTATTGTACCTACCATCATGATTCTTTGCATAATAACTAAGATTACTGGTAAGAGAGTAATATGGGGACAACTAATAGTTACAAATCCCTCAATAGGTGGCTGCACTAGCCAACAGCATTTTTATGTTCTAAAATTAGGCTTGATAATAGTACATGCTAATTTAAAAATAAGACTTGAATAATGTGTAAAAAAGGTTTAAAAGAGAAATACACATTTAAACAATGGTACATAACTTTTTTAATTTAATTGTTATACTTTTAAGCACATTTTATGTTTATTGTATATATATATAATGTATTCAGTGTATAAAATTTATCTGTGAGTAAGCTGTGTGAAGGAATGCCCCCCGTGGTTCGAATATAATGCATGAAATGGAAGGATTGATGCTGTGTGTTTTTTTCCTATTCTGTATTAATAAAACCTGTAATAAAGTAACAATATAAATAAATGGACCTGCAATAAAGTAACAATTAAAAAATGATTTAGTTTTGAGTGCTGACTGAAAAGTGACTAATACATGCAACCTAAGAAAGTAAAATATGTTTTAACTTTTTCTCTGTGAACTCCATCAATTTTCTTTCATACAGATATAGTAAGCTTTAGCTCAAGTTATCCTATTTTGTGTGTGTTTAAAATTGTGTATGTGATAGATTTAATGAGTTTTATCAGTTTTGCATTAGGAATGTATATTCAAAATATTCTTTTCTAAGATATTATCTGTGATTCAGGGATGGATTAATTCAATTTACATTAATTCCTATAAAAAATTGTTTATGAATATTTGAGAGATGAACTACCTGAAGGAACAAATTAAGTCATGAACCAAGGTTTAACTGTACTTCGATAATCTAAAATTAAAATTCTGTTTTTCAAAAATGTTTCTTGATTTACAGTGCTTCAGAACTAATATTGAATCATATTTGAAGATTTCTTATTTTATTGTGTAAAGAGACATAATTTCTAGAAAAGAAATTGTACATTAAATTCAAAATATGATTATTGACCAAATCTGTTTTGATATCATAGTGGATTTTTAAATTTCTTACAAATCATGTCATTTATATAGCAAGTCTTAAAATTCTCTTTTGTGAAATGTGTAATTTTTTTAAGACTTCATTCATACTGCAGTTGACCACATAGGAAAAATGTTTATCATAATTTATCTTACTGTGGTTAGGTAAGCAAGTATTTTAATTTCAACAGAAATATTAAATTTTCTCCTCATTAGGATATAAATATTCAGAGTCAAAATATTTTGAAAACTCATTCTCAACTTGTAAGCTTTATAAAAGTGATATAGTTTTTTATAGCCATTATTCAAAACATACACTAATGCTATTCTTATTTTTCACCATCTTTTTTTAAACAAAAATCCTCCATAAATTAGTTTTAATATGTGGAAACAAGCTTTGAAGAAAATCCTTCATTAAACTTTCACAAATCTAATATTGCCTGTATAGTCATTTCTTATAAAATCATGGCCTGCAAAATATGTACTTTTTATGCTTCGTATGACATTTATAATTTCTTTTCAGTGAAAAATAAAAGTGCAAATCTAACACCAAGATTTAGACCAGAGGACTCGCAAATGACTGACAATTTGCCTGCTGATAGAGATATAGAAGTACAAACTAAGAAATGTACATCCACCTCCCATTCAACTGAAACAGTATCAGAAGGAGAGTTAAGTTACGATGTATCCCTTTCTGAAGGTGAGATTCCGCCAAGTAGGTTGGCATTCTTGTTCTCTCCAACCTCAACCCAAGATTCAATGACTCCTTCTAATGACACAAGCTTTCACAAACTTTCTTCAGAAAAAGATAAGTCTATGAGCAAATCCACAAGTCTTTCATTACCTGGAAAGGGAAAACAACTCATAACACATCATCTTCATGAAACAGGAATATCTGAAGATGTTGAGCAAAGTAACATACACCAGTCCTCAACTTCTAATACTTTGGATATGGTCAATGAAGAAATTCGCTTTTATGATACTTAATAGCTGTCTTTCTTACATGATTAAAATATTTTAAAAGTACAGTATGCCTCAGTTATCTAGTTAGTGATCTGAACTCATTAAAACATGCTTGATCAGATCTTGGAAAAGATAAGATAGAAATGTGTTAAGAGAAATTTATCAAGACTTTCAGCTCTCATTTGTTAAGAAATATAGTTTTTGGACCATAAAATTTCTTTCTATTCCTATTATTCTTCTAAGGCACTGTATCTTCACTTTTTTTATTCACCTTGCATGTTTCATTCATGCTATTTTATAAGCCTAATTATTGCCTCTAAATGGAAAAGAACAGGCTTTCAATATAAGACATGTTAAAAATCATCAGTCGTTTAAAAAAAGGAGGATTGATAGAGCAAAAGATGTATTAACTGTGAACCACAAATCAGAAAAATTAACAGTTGTGAATATTTATTCTAAATAAATTATTTTTATTAATGTGATGTAAAAATAAAATACTGTTTGGATAGAAATCTGTCTTTAGTTAAATAATGTAATGTTTAAAAGTTACTGATTTACTCAATTTTGTCTTTTTTTAGTAAGAAAATTAATTTTCTGAACCCATCCTGATCTTACTGTGATCGGATAACTGAGGCTATGCTGCACCTAAATAATTTTTCAGAAATTAAAGAGACTTCTAAACTTCTCTTCTAATGTTCAAATACATTGAATTTTATGTAGGTCTATCCATAAAGTTCATGGACAAATGTGTAAACAAAAAAAACATATGTAAACAAAAAATTTTTAGTTTACATATGTCAACATAGTCATCATTGAAAGGGTCCCTTTTGCTACTGATGCACTTCTGCAAACATAATTTCAGTTGCTGAAAGAAGTGCTGCAGGTCTTTTCTACCAAGTCCATCAATTGCATTATCTCTTACGCTTGTTCATATTCTTTAAAGTTTCTGAAATTCCATTTCAATTTTGGGACACAGAAAAATTCACTAAGAAGCAGATCAAGATAGTGGGGAGGATGCTGAAATGAAGTGATTAAATTTGGACTAGGAGATCATGTACAATAAATGCTGGCTGCAATGGTATATTATTATAATGCAAAATCCATCTACTTCATTTCATTGTGAATGATATGTTATATACAATCTCATAAGTGTCTCAAGATATTCAAGTTTGTGAGAATGAATTCACAATGCACAGTTCTATGCATGTCCAAAAAAATTAAAATTTTGATTCCTTAATGTTTTCTAATAATTCATATTTTTTCTTTCATCTCCCCTGTTTTTCTGAAACTTCAATGCCAAATCATATTCATAAATCCAAGATTCATCACCCATGATCAGCATAATAAGAAAATTATGGTTTAACCAATCAACACATCATTTTATCCATTCTGAATTTAATAATAAACATTTGAGTGATCTTTGCTTGTAATTTTCTCATTCTTAATTTCTCAATTAAAATCATATGCACAAATTATTTTTCAGAAATTTAGCTGTTCAATAATCATTCTTGCAGTTAGCTATCAATCATGCTGTAGATAATACAATACATGAATGATGTTTTCTTTGACGAATGCAGTTTGAAGCCATTTCTTCTCACATTGTTAATCATGTCTTCTAGTCCCTCTTTGAAGCATTTATCGCACTGGAATAATTCATAGACTTGCTGTACATCTACTTTAATATTTTATGAATATTATGCCTTTCTTTTGTGTTTCATACATTAGTGTACATTTCATATTATTCCTTTCTTTTCAAGTTTGACAAGAAATTTTATATAACTCTATTGATATTCATTACTTCAGCAACACATTGCTGCCCATCTTAACCATGTATGGGGGGATCTGTGAAATAGTCATTATTTGCATTATATGTGTCTCACAAAAACAAAACATGTACTGATGAAAAAAAACATATCTCGAATATGCCAGTGTTTTTGCATTGTGCTGGTATTGCCAAAAAGATGGAAATAACATAATCAGTAAACTTTATGGATAGATTAGTCATCCTGACTGCATATACATCTGTTATAAATAAAACATTTACTGGTTTATCATATATTAAGTCTTTTATGACTGTTTCTGACTTAAAATGGACAGAAATCTAAATATTATATTAGTGCACAGTATTAATATTTGGATAATGTGTAATTTGTAATATTGCATATTTTTAAATGTTAACTCTTACTGCTCAATCATTATAAAACTATATTTTTTTGTAAAAATACATCTTTATGTATGAATACCAAGTTTTTAATACATTTTATAAATAGTATATAAAGTAATAAAAATGAATTATAATTAATCTATGTCCTAATGTACTTTATTCATAAAAGACATGTCTGGAGTTTTTAACTTAACTGTCTGCTTCAAATAGATTTCTAAACTGTCATTTCTAATGAAATTATAATTTTTGAAGGAAATTTCTTTCTGATAAGGATATTTGAATGAACTGTGTCTATTGAACAACTAATAATCCTAAAATCAACACATATTAAGTCACATTTTAAAAAATGTTTGAAAGTTTTAAAAGTGGATAATTTATACAAGATTTAGAAGTCTCATGATTTTTCATGCTTAATGAATAGCTTAGAATATATACTACACAATAAAAAGATGACTTACGAATATTTTGAAGAAGCTGTACTTTTGACATTTTTTTACCCTAGAATTTTGCATACTAATTTGTCTATGAAGGGAGTATAGGAGAACTTTGGAAGACTTAGAGGCCTACATAATATCCAATTCAGGAAATTTTATGTACAATGTTGCAACGAGTAGCTTCCAGCATACACTGCCACATCCAGCAGCATCAAAAACATAAATTTTCAAATTATATATTTCATCTTTTTGTTAATTTTTTAATTATACAAATGGAATACATTATCAAGCTGTAAAGCCTGTGAGTTAGAACCTCCTGATTCGGATATTCTTAAATTTATGTCAGGGATTTAATTTTAGAAAACCACTGTTATTAGACAAATGGTTTGGGAAACTGGCTGCTTGCTATTTTCTACTGGATATATCTGACAACTTAATTATTCCACAAAATGTGCATGCCGCTGCATGGACAACACATCCAGGAATATCTGTTATATTGTAACACTAATAAAGAAGACTTCTCTAATAAAACAGAAAACTGCAGAATGCACAGTAACAACTAAGCGAATTAAAAGGAGCTACTCCATCACAACATTGTCTACCTAAAGTAGTACAAATAGTTTACTTTAAAGTAAAGCATATCTTATGCTTAAAAATTGTGTTTAACCGGAATGGTATTATATAGCTTCGCAGTCACCTCTTATGTATTCCTTCTGCAAAAATTTCAAGAGCATTTCCATGAAGAGTCCTGAAACATCTATAACAGAGATTCTCAACCAGGGGAAATTTACTTCATAGTTCAGTGGGCCTTTTATTTACCTGTTAAGTACTTAGTTTTAGTTTATGAATATAAAAAATTATTTTTATTCACGTTTTGGTATTTATCAATATTTTCTGTACTTTTTCATGATTTTAAATTATAAAACACATTTAAAAGTACCGTAATTTCGGTTAGATAAGCCGCGGCTTATACGTGTTTAAAAGTTGAAAATTTAGATCTGTGGCGTATCTGAGGAAATTTTATTTTTCCTCTGTTCTTAAAACTTTGCTAGTTCAGATCGTAAGCTATGCACAATCGAAACGATAAGAATTCGCTGCAATATTCTAACCTCAGATTGCGCTAAGGCAGCGCAATAAGTTCAAACTCGCCTAACTAAGACAGGTGGCGCTCTCTATAAATACACCGTAATGCATGTACTTTCAGCTAAACTCCATGGTTTTGCCCGCGTTTTTCCTATTGACTTTTTGTTTTAATGGAAACAGTTACGTTTACTTGCCAAGTGCTGTATTCATTCTTACACGTTTTTACTTCTTTGTAGCTTGCTTTTTGCTTGTCTTATCATTCGCGCATTAAAAATATTATTATTATTATTATGGCTCCTACTTGAAGCAAAACTTATACAGCTGCTTTTAAGCTTTCGGCAATGAAGAAAGCGATCAAAATTGGAAATCGCGCTGCGGCTAAAGAATTTCAAGTTGACAAGCGATGCATTCGGCAGTGGAAGTCCGAACAAGAAGTATTAGAGAAAATTATCTGTCAGGACCAAAACAGCAGTTGGATAAAAGCTTCCTGTGGACTGCCTTGAAAAAAAAAAAGACAGCTTTTTTGGAGTACACATCTAAGAAAATTAAAGAACAAAATTTGAAAAGAGGGCAAATAATTAATATGGATGAAGTGCCCATTACTTTTGACTGTCCTCTGAGCAGAACTCTTCATTCCATGGGTGAAAAAATTATTTCAGTGTTAACAACCGAGAATGAAAAAACTTCTTTTTCTTTTACTTATGTTTTGCGTTGTGCCGCCAATGGAGAGAAGTTAACCCCCTTTGATAATTTTCAAAAGAAAAACAATTCCGAAAGGAAATTTCTCTAAAGAAGTTATTATTTGCCCCAACGAGAAAGGATGGATGTGCGAAGAAGTGTTGTTGTTTTAGCTGAGAGAAATTTATCGGAAAAGGAAAGGTGCTGTTTTCTAACCCCGAGGACTAATTTTTCTGGATTCAATGCGATCTCATTTAGCGGATAAGGTAAGATCTGAAACAAAAAAACTTAGCACCGTTGTCTCAGTGGTACCAGGTGGGCTTACAAAAATTTTACAGCCGCTGGATCTGATTATCAATAGAATTTTCAAGCATGAACTACGAAAGTGGGAGGAATGGATGCAAAGCGAACTCCATTCCTTCACAAATTCCGGACGGATGAGAAGAGCTGCGATACTGCGATATACTGTATTGTACTGGGTTTCTATTGTCGGAGCAATACTTCCCAGTCATGCAAGGAGTTCCATGCGGAGCCTGGTAATAGAAAATTCCTTATTGAGTTTCCTCTGAGGGGAGAAATAACAAGGAGAAAAGGGGATTACGGCGCAATATTTCGCCTGGACTCAGGAGCTGACGCGAGCTATTTGCAACACTGGTCCGACCAAGAACATATCCAAAGTAATTACTCCAAAGATGCTCGTAGCCTGCTGGCACTTCACTGTGATTGGTCGAAATCTAGATTGGAATCCTTGTCAGAAGAGATGGATCAGCAAATTGTCCTAGCTCAGAATATACTCAAAGTTAGCTGTACTGTTGGTCTTTACTTTCTTGAAAAAGTTTCCATTTATCTTGGATAAGTAGTCTTTGATATAATCAATATGAAGGTCGCGATGTAAATCTTCATTTCTAATATAGTATGGGGCGTTCGTGATGGTTCTCAGGATCTTATTTTGCAGAACTTGAAGCCGGTGAATTTCACTTGCCTTAGCACTTGCCCAGGCCGGGGAGGCATATGTGGTAACAGGCCTGACAATTGCAGTGTAAAGCCTTCTTTTGCGTGCAAGGTTTAATCCTTAGAAAGTAGTGGGTAAAGCTTTTTCACAATGCCGTACGCTTTTCCACACACACTGTTTATATGTGCATTCCAGGTAAACGATCGATTTAAAATGACTCCTAGGTATTTTGCCATACTTACAGAAGGGACTGTTTTCCCGAAGAGAGTAGTAACATTACAGGTGAGGGGGTCTGCGATCTTGAATTTTCTGATAACTAAAACTTTTGACTTCTCCACGTTGATCTGAATTTTCCATCTTTGACACCGTGCTTCAATATTAGGAATAATCTGCTGAATCTTTTCCGAAGCGTGGTTTGGTCGTCTGGACTTCGCGATGATGGCGGTGTCATCCGCGTAGCATGCTAACGTAATATTAGGGTCTTGACTGAATTTTAGAAGTTATTTACGTATAAAATATTGGTCCAAGGACACTTCCTTGTAAATTCATGCGTAAATTTCATGTGGGTTTGAACTGGATTCTCCTTGCCGCACTGAAAACGTTCGGGAGTTCAAAAATGACCTGAGGATGAGAATAATTTCCCTAGGAAAATTCAAATTGATGAGCTTAAAAATAAATCCTCTATGCCAGACGCGGTCAAATGCTTTTGCCACGTCTAGCATGAAGATAGCTGCACTATTTTTGTTATGTAAAGCCGCTCCAATATATTCAGTGATTCTGACTAACTGATGAGAAGTGGATGTCCTCTTCGAAAGCCATGTTGTTCATCCGCCAGAATATCGAGAAAGGTTTAATTCTATTGTAAATGATTCTTTTCAAGAATCTTTCCCAGTGTCGACAGGAGGCTAATTGGTCTGTAACTGGCCGGTTCATCAAGAGGCTTGCCTGGTTTTTGTATCAGAAAAATGCTTGCATGCTTCCACGGGGTTGGAAAATACGAATGCGTTGAACAAGCATTGCAGATGCTAGTCAGCTTGTAATTAGACAGTGGGGCAGGTTCTTCATCATTCTGTTCGTAATTTTATCACTTTCAGGCGCCTTTTTTGGGTTTGTGTGCTTGATGATATCTTTTATTTCTAAAGGAGTAGTGAGCCTAATCGTGTTGTTCAGTGTGCTAATCTCAAGCCATTCTTGAACAAAGTTGTCATTATCAGAGCCATTATTATTCGGAATTACATTCGGTGTGAACTGCTCGCTTAGATGCTTTGCGAAAGTGTCCTCTTTTTCCTGATCGGTATATGCAAAACCGTGTGTAGTTTTGATTGGCTGAGAATGGTGATAAACTCTTTTCAGGTTCCGAGCGAAGTTCCAGAATGAACCGTCATCCAGATTTAAGTTATCTATTTTGTAACTCCATACTTCGTTTCGGTGTTCGCTGATGAGAGCTTTAATATGCTTTGTGAGTCTATTTATGTCCGTCTTAATAGCCGGATTTCAATCCTTACTGTTCTGTTTGCGAAGTCTGTTCCATTGAGTAATAACCGCTCTGATAAGTGCAGGAAATATGACGTCCAGATAATTGTTCACCATTCCTGTAGTTGCATTTTGTAGGAACTCCTGAAGTTTATTGGTAAAAATGTTTACTGCAGCGTCAATGCAGTGCCTAAACTGAATTTCGATGTACTAGCGATATTGTGAAATAGGTTCCAGTTCACTATTTTCTTTAGAGTTGGATTTGTCTTGGGAGCTCCACCTATTCTAGCTACAACAGGAACGTGATCTGATGGAAGATCAGTAAGCACCTGAAGTGAAATAGGGATGTTATCCGTTGAGAGGAAAAAGTCCAGAATATCGTGACGCCGGCCTGGGATGCTTGGGCAGTAAGTAGCTTCTTCAGGGATAAATAAATAAACTGGTTGATTATACACATAGTTATGAATTACCTTGCCATTTCTGTTTTGTACTGTGACAGCCCAGTCCAACATGTTTCG